ATTTTTACAAATGCGTTTTACAAATACGTTTGTAATTTACAAACACAAATTTAAGACGGGAAAAAATATATAATGTATCTCTAAAAATATATAAGATATATTTATACATTTTTTAAAATAAAAAGTTAAAATATAAAAGTATTTTTAAATAAATTTATTTACTTTAATAATAATTTATAATAAAAAATATTTACATTTTTAATGAATATATAATTTTAATTCATCTATTTTGATAAAATTACTGGGTTGTCACAGGGAAAACTGGGAAAAGTCAGGGAAATTAAAATTGGTCATGGAAACCGAGAAAAGTCAGGGAAAAATGTAAAAAAGTCTGAAATTTCGAAATTTGCTCAAATAATTGTTATAATTTTTTAAATATTATATCTGACGTTTAAGCTTTTTCATGCTGACGCTTGACGCTCATTTTCAGCGTTAAAACAGGTCACGTGATCAAAATTGATGCTTGGTATTCGTCAATTTTGATCACGTGACCTGTTTGACGTTAGAATCAAGCGTCGAATGTCAGCATGAAAATGCCTTATAAAATGCGTTTAAAACTTGTGCACTTTAAACGATTTTAATAAAATAATTAAAATTTTATTCAGTATTTTTTATTTGATTCCTCTTTTTCATCATAACTACATTCTTTTTTCCAAAATTAATTAATTTTTTGCTGGCTTGAATTTGCAACCAAAATTAAACTAAGTTTTTTCCGTTGTTCTTAAGTCTAAATGTAAAAATTTACATATTTTATGTTACTCATGGAAAATTTTTCATTTTTATCTGGAAAAATCAGGGAATTTTAAAATTCATTTTCTGTGGCAACCCTGAATTGGAATGTATAATAAACAGTATTTTTAAATAAATGATTGTTTATTAAAATCTATAATGACATTTTTGAAAAATTGGAGAAATTGATTATACAATAGAATGATACAGAAATGTCACAAATAAATTGCGGCTGTAAGAAATACTTTCATTAAAACACTAATCAAGCAAGCACTTAGTTCGTGGATCTTCACGTGCAGGTCGTTTATTATCGTTCTCCCATAAGGATCCCATTAACTGAAGCGTTATGTTCCAACACGCGTTGCTCATTTTCGCGAACATAAGGTCGCGACGTCAGCGATTTCACGTGTAGAGAAACGAGAAATAGTTATCCGTATGAATCCGGATGGCGTCGAAATGTTTTTATCGCTAAATTTTACGTACCGCTAGTAGACTGCTTGTCAGTAGAATCATCATAAATATCGCATGTGGCATCTTAATCGCATCGCGTATGTTGTTCCATTAATCTTAATCTTGTATCCTATATAAAATGGATCTCACTGATTTGTATGGTCCACGTTTCTTCCATATAATTATAATATTTTATTTATAAAAAATTTCTCATAGGTTCTTTTCTTTCTGAAAATTAGCTTGGAATTTTAAGTATCAGATTGAAATTATTCAATATACTTTTTTAATGTATAAGAAAATATTTCTCTTAAAGGATTGTTTTATTTTCAAATTTTCAGAATTTATTTTAATTTTGCGTAAATAACTTGCGAAAATATTTTTTGTAATAATTTTTTTTTAAAAAAAGGAGCATACATTAAATTCTTCAAACGTGGACAGTTTTACATAAATATATACAAATTAGACACGTTGATTATTTAATATTTTCAATACACAAATTATTTGATATTTCAACCAATGTATCTTATCTTATGTTGCCTTCAAAAAAACGTTTAATTAATTTATCGTTTGAAGATTAAATTGTCCGAAACTAATTAATGTCAATATAATTCGTATTTTGATATAGATAATCTCTTTTCATGAGATATCAACTTTATAGTTTCCTATTCGCGCATAATTCCGCTTATATTTATATAACTCGTTTCCTTTTAGCGTTGCGCAAACAAAAATCTAAATGCAAAAAATATTCGATGCTGCGATTAAGATTTGTTTGAGATAAATTTGTAATTGACTATTTATTTTCTGAAATTTTTTTGAAAGTGATAAATCAAATTGGCGGTGATAAAATTCAGTTATTTTAATAACTTGTGAAATCCCTGTAGTAAGCTCCTAAGTAACACAGCAGCTCTAAAAAAGCGATTGTATACGCTTTTTTAGCGCTTTGTTAACGCTTTGTAAACGTTATGTACTACTTGGGCTTTCTTTCTAGAATTGTGCATTATGAGATCGTTGACATTTGAGATTCGCATCACCTTTTGTGCAAGAAATTGTGAATTTTACGAATGTACGGGTATTTAAACAGATGTACCTGGGATCGTCTAACATATAAAGAAGAACATCCCAAACATTGGATACTTGATTTCGTCGGACGCACGCAAAACTGGGGGGTTGCGAGAACTGGGGGAATCGTATCGTTAGAACGTTGGAACTTCAGATCTTTGGACCGATTCGAATGCGACGTGAGAGGGTAAAAAGGACGAGAGCCATGAGTGTCTTAACGGTAAAGGGCGAGAGGGATGGGAAAACAGTAGGGTGCAAGGAGTCGGCGAGAGCCGACGGAACCGACGAAGGAGAGCAGAGAGCAACGGTGAGCGTCGATACGAGAGTGTCTATTTACGAGTTGTCCGGCGCCGTGATGTCCGGAGTAAAAATACACCGCGTAGAGTCCGTATGCCGTACGCGCGCGCGTGCACACACAGCAAAACTCTTATAATTCTCTACCGCGCTAGGCGCTTGCTAGCGCTCTCTCAGCTCTCTCGGGTCTCTCAATGCCCCTCCCTCCCTCCTCTCTCCCCCTGCCGTTGCTCTCATCCCCTCCGCGGGGCTCCTCGCGGCCCGTAACAACTGCGGAGGGGCGGCGCGGCGCAATTCCGCTTCTTTCTTATTGGACAGCGGCCAACCGAGAGCGGCGAAAAGCGATAGAGAACCACGCACATAGAGCGCGCGATTAGGGTGCGAAACGTAATTGCGCCGTTATATAGGGTGTTTCGTTATTCCCTATATGTTTTTAATTTTTCAGAGTAATGTATGAACGCGAGTATATGTATAATCGCGGACTGACCAAATTCGAGATATGTTAAATTCGATATATTATCAATAGAACGTTATGTTTTATATTGAAGCAGAGGAAAGAGAAGGGAGGAAAGAAATTGCAATTATTTTATAAAATATGAGAAATATATTTTTATAAAAAAATAAAAATGGACTATGAATGGAAAATGATTCGAACTATAAGAATCACGTTTTGTAAATTTTTATTTAAATAAATTTTTACTCCAACTTCGATTTTGTTTACCCTAAAAGTAAATTAATGCTAATTATAAACTGTACCGTCCAAATAGCTTCGATCTGATTAATAAATTGACCTGAACGAGCGCGTCGGGTCGGCGTGTTTACAAACGCGTGCCCGTTGCAAGGCAGGTACGCGTCACGCCAGGTACGTCTGTGGCTCGACGTGTAGATGCAGAAATATAATCGCGCAATGACGTCACACGCGCGTGCTGTGCAAAACAGACTTCCTCCCGTTCCTTTGCCGTTGTCCGAAGCCGAACTACGGCACGGCAAATCCATCGTTGTGACGACGAGAAGTATTGTACCTACTTGATAAATAATATGAGTTATAGTATCGTTCACGTTCACTTAATCTCAAAGTTCAATAGAATAAAAACACTGTCTATTCTATTTAAATAATATTGAACGAGATGAATGTGACACAAAATTATGAATCAAAAAATACACAAAGACTTATTTGATTAGGACTCTTTGATTAGGAATGATAAGTTATCAAATAACAATCTGGAAGCTAAGTAAATAATTCGGTTGCCCAAATCGAGATCTAAAGTATCTGTTGATTTAAAGATATGCGATATGTGTACTATGAATGGTTATTAGATAACAAACTTCTTTATTTTTCAATAACAATCAAGTTTACGTAACAGAATATAATATTTATTTCTAATACACATGTCCTATTTTTGCAATAAACATTTTTGCTTTATACAAATAAAAACAATTATTCCTTTTAATCGCGGATGGTATTATTTGCCATTCAACATCCGAAAACCTACTCAACTCTGCGAAATATGTAAAAGACTAATCTCATTATTTTTAATTAACCCAGAGTGTGTACAACGTTCGCGAGAATCATCGCGAGAATCATATTATTCTCTATAACAAAAGATTAAGATTATCGGCAAGATTAAGAGATCGGCTTTATTTCGGGCGTTAAAACCTACGTTCTAACCCACGTCGCCTCGTCGCTTCGCTTCGGTCTTTTGAATGGGAGTATTTTTAGCACGCGCCTACTATATGTGGATAACTGTACGCGCCGCACCGCGTATTCAGTTTCCGTGGATCGAGCGGCTTGAGCAAGCATTAAAGTGTTCGATGTGACATCGAACGGAAGTCAAATTTCGCACAATCCTAATGGAGACACAATTCGCTGAATAAATGTATTTTCACCTAGACCGCGATTGTTTTGCCTTACGTTAGTTTTATATCGTCAGTTTTATAACGATATAAATTAAAACAAAAATTAAGAAAAATGTTGAACTCTTAGGATAAATTACGTATCCCAGATGACGCTTTTTTTCCGTAGCAGAGGACTGTTATAATCATAAATTATACATTAATAAGATATGTAATGATATATTTAATATGTTCAGTTGTTTCGAATGACGAAGCTTAATTTAATCTAACGTATACAATCTTGTTTGGTTCGATGTTTTAGTCTATCTTTTTATATTGAAAATTTACAATATATTTGTTTATCGAACATTTATCTATTCGTTTGTTTACTCCTATTGTTTAGTTGACGGAATGCATCGGAGAGACTGAACAAACTGTGCTGTGACTGAATTTAATTTGAAAAAAAAAAAAATGTTTATTTAAAATCTTAAGGTCTCATTTGTGGAATGTAAATCCTCGTTGTTGCTCTGTGAAAATCGGTTTGAAGAATCTTGATCTTTCTATAAACCTCCTTTAAAATTTCAGACATTGTCCCTTTACGTATTATCCCGCTAATTATTCACTTCTTTTTGCAGTCACCTGACACGCACCACGACATGGGAAGATCCGCGGAAAACAGCCGCTGCCGCAAGCGTGGCCGCAGTAGCCGCGGCAGTCGAGAGCAGCAAATCCAACGCGCTCGGTCCATTGCCCGATGGATGGGAACAGGCGCGTACAGCCGAGGGCGAGATCTATTTCATCAATCACCAGACTCGCACCACTTCCTGGTTCGATCCGCGAATTCGTAAGTTGAATTCTTTTCCCAAATCCTACAGATTAAGCAACATATAGACTACAATGGAGACGCTACCCCGAATCTAAACATTAATTTAAGAATTAAAGTTCTCGATACTCACTATTTAATCATCGAACCAGATTGATTCAAATTTTTTCGCTTCCGCATTTTCCAAGTTTTTGGGAATTTTCTGACTTTCATCTGGAGACTAGAATTTGTTCTCGTCTAATTTATTTTAATAAATATGCCGAATTTGAATGTAATTAATTAAATTCTGGAAATTCTGGTGTAAAACTTGAGAATTTCTAAAATAGAAATCGGAATGTAGTGGCTCTAAATATTATTGAAGTTTGACAAAAATTAAAATAGGTCGCAAGATTTATATCAATTGGCGAGGAATCTTTCTCGACAATGCGATTCACTTTTATCAATCATATTTTTATATTGTTGACTAATCCTCATTTCTTATCGTATATTCATATAAGATATCATTCCTTCAGCATCGCATCTCCAAAGAACTCCGGCGGCTGGCGCGATGCTGCCACAAAACTGGCAACTTCAACAACCCACCGGTATCCAAAGCAACCAGAATCTACAAGCCTGCCAGAAGCAGAAGATTCGTCTTCAATCGCTGCAGCTAGAACGTGAACGTTTGAAGCAGCGACAACAGGAAATTATGCGCCAGGTTGGCATTGTGAGTCGTCCTTTAATCTGGAGGCTTGATCGCGTGACATTTGTAATAATCATTTTCGATATTCACGCATTTTTTTTCGTTGCAGCAACAAGAGATGATGCTGCGACAGAGCACCACGGATGCCGTCATGGATCCGTTTTTGTCAGGCATTAACGAGCAGCATGCACGCCAGGAGAGCGCCGATAGCGGCTTGGGACTCGGTTCTGCATATTCACTGCCTCAGGCTTCCGACGACTTCCTAAACATAGACGAAAACATGGATGGCACGAGCGGTAAGAGCGGCCCGTTCGAAATTCACAATTTTTTCGGAATATAAAGCCTTTTTATACAGCATTTTCAAAATCCATCGCCATTATCACGCTTATAAGATTCTAAGCTAAAAAGAATGTTTATTCGCTTGCTTTGCTGTGCCATTAAGTCAATTTTCGATTTATGAATAATTGTTTTGCGCGATTGTTCCGATTGCAGAAAGGCACTGTGCGTTGAATGATCTTACGAAACGATTATACCGAAGCCATAAATACATAAGTACGTATTTGCCACAATATCACATTTTGTTTAGTCATACTTTGAATTCGATGAATTCTTTTACAGACGGAGGTGCGCCGATGGACACGCCGGATCTTTCAACCTTGAGTGACAATATCGATTCAACAGATGATCTCCTGCCGTCACTTCAGGTAGGTCATTTTACATGGTGACGATTGTTGCAAGCCTGTTGTTAAAACCCTTTGATTTGCGGTCTTTTGTATCAACAATTGTTATTGTTTCAGCTGAACGAGGAGTTCAGCACCGATATTTTGGACGACGTGCAGTCACTCATAAATCCTAACACGACCAAGCCGGAGAACGTGCTGACTTGGCTATAGGATTAGAAGTGATACTGCGGCGGATGTCGGCCTTTTTAAAAGGATAGGTATTCAGGTTCTCGAAGTGGAAACTTTATTCAGATCTAGACATTAACTTGCGGTTAATTAATTGCATCATTGAGCAATGTTGTTTTCAATATTTTCAACCAATGATGCAAGTTTTATTTCTTTATAATTTTGTAGGTTAGATTATATTAGATTAGGATAGGATTAAGTGTCTACTTCGAACCTAAACACCTATTTTTTTTATTTATTTCTTTTTATTTGGATTTTTGCGGGAATATATTACCACGCGAAACAATCAGGACATCGTTGGAATATACTTTTTCATTTCAAGTTTCTCATAACGGAATGATAGAATCGAGAATTGAATTTTTGCTCAATACGTAATGACTTTGTTATTAAGCTGTCTCAGACGCTCTAAAATATCAAAATTTAAGAAACAAATTTAAATATAGATGTTTATATGTGCATGCGATTATAAATATGCCATTGTAAATATATAAGTCTCTTTTTCTCTCTTTTTGTCTTTGGAAGGTATTGGGTAGCTTAATGGAAAAATTTTCCTATCAAACGAGAGATTATTAATTAGTATTGCATATGTTATAAGGAATTTTTAATGAAAAAATATTTTCTCGTGATACAAACGATTAAATAAAAAGTAAATTCACTATAATTTTGCAATACATCATGGTAGGTATCGCATTTCTTTTGTAAAGATGAAAATCCAAATAAAAAGATGTTTATATTTCGTTATATGCCGTCTGAAGGAAGGAAAGAGAGAAGAAGTAAATGAAGGACTATATACGAATTTATTTTACCAGCAAGCATGTTAAATGTAATTGTTAACACATTTAGTCCTTCAATTTTCTTTTTCATTTCTTTCTTTGTTAAACAATATTATATTTTATATATATGCAACGAAAATTTATATATATATATATATATATATATATATATATATATATTCCGGATTCATATTCGTTAAACTTAACAATCTTATAAGATCATGATTTTTGTTGCATATGTTGGTATCAAGAGATCGTACAATATTTGTGCTCCCAGCTTGTAATTATATCTTCCCATGGTTTTTGCACGGAGAACAGTTTAGTTGTAAAAGTTAATATAGAGAGACTATGAATGAATTATGAACAATTTCAAACAAATTTCAAAGTGCCTGATACAAAAATATTTTGTCTCAACATTTTCTAATGCGAGTCGATTTGCTTGCACGTTTTCGCGCGTGAGGGATTTGGTGCTATTTATATCTTGGGTGCATGTAATTGAAAATTGTTATAAATGTTATTAATATAAATAATCAATTATAGCAATTATTGCTATAATTGGTTTTTAATTTTTGATACTAATACTTACAGGCTTATTGTAGATGCACTGGCAATCTTGGGATGTAAATTATGAATACTGACGAAGTCATAATGCTCGAAGATCGTTGAAGATCTTTGAAGTTGCGGAGCAATTGTAATGTTTACTGGATGAAGATAGAAGATATTTTAATACAGCATACTGACGTTAATAATATTTCGAATATGACATACGGAATTGTACAATGTTTAATCAGCTCTTTAAATCGCATATACATGTATTTGAAACATGTTATGTCTGCGATCTTGTTTGTAGTATAATTTTTTACGAACGATATGCTTCAAAGCAGAGTGCCTTGTCTTTGTAATCAATTAATGTGACCATCATTACTCATCGTTTTTTGCTGCATTAACCGTCCATAGAAAACATAATAAATGTAGTTATTAAAAATAATCGTATTTCTAGATCGTCGGCTAAATATTTTTGCCGCGAAAAAATGCAAAAGAAAAAAAAAATATATTTTTTTTATATGTAAAGTCTATACTCTTGTTACAAATTGCAATTATATTGATATTTTTCGAGAAATGCTATTAGATTGTAAACTTCTCACTTATGTTTTATACTATCAATTATATAATGGAGATTGCCAGAGCGAGAAGAATATCTGGTATTTATAGATCTATATATCTTTTATCTTAAGGAGTTCGCGTTCTGTATCTAGCGAAGGGTACTGAAGTAGCGCGGAAGAAAAAAGGCCACTAACATTGAATTTTTCGTTATCGCGAATTAACTCACGGCCTATTTATTACTGGAAATCATAAAATATCCGGTAAAGAAGATAACGCGTATATGCAATTACATGTGGCAGCTGAAAATATTTGGAAAGAGATTTACGCGACTATTTCCATTACTTAGCAAGTGGCAATGTCTATTTTGATTGATATATAATCAGAATTGACATAATTGATTAATAAATTTTTGTATTCATAAACAATGTAATGTTTATAAACAACAAAGGTAATATTTATAAACAACAAAGGCAAAAATTATATCGAATTATGTTCATCAAATGAATATTAACGCACTTGTGCCATGAAATCGAAATAGTCATGTGAATTTCTTACCTTTTTGTATATTAAGGACTTCGACAATCTTATATCATATAAAACTTTTTGTAATATCAGCATTCTCCCGCCTTTTCCTGTAGTCGGGAAAAGTCTCGGAGAAATTTGCGTTTCGTTATTCGCACGCTCCTGCGTTGATGTCTCATTCATTCAACTGGTTGACCGTGCGAATATCGAATTTTTGACCGCTTGATTTTTTTTTCTTTTAAGATAGTAAAGAAAGGGCGATCATGTTGTAAACGTTGATTTGACATTTGTGTCATTCACTGTATTTTTGGATCGACACTCTGGAAGACGGGACGTCGCACGTTGAACACGGTGTGAGAAATTGAGAACGTGATCTTTCTTATTTTATATATACAAGTTCGATCATCTTACAATTGATTGTATTCGAGATATATTTTAATACCATTTTTAAGAACCGGATGAAAAATACGCGTTTTGAGTTTTATACAGTTTTGAGTTTCTCTTTTTTATTCGCTTCCTCTTATCTAAAAATTCCAATTTTATTCAGTCGCTTTTTAGTTTTGTTTTATTCGAGTTCGCCGTGTTTTATGATTTATAGCGATGTCCTTTTCCAATTGACGTTACCGTCGAAATTAGTAACGTTTTCTGGTATCATGAAAATCGACCCGACCGAGTCTTCCAGGAACGTCATGTAAATCAAGCGCGTTTAATGTATTATTTTAATTGCAATTTAACGATTAATATTTACCATACTGTATCTTGCTTTTAGTCTAAACTCAGTGTAGATTACGTTTTGGAGAGCATTGCGATACGAAACTTACGTAAGTGCCTTCATGTTGAAGACGTTCTTAAGACGAAAATGCAAGTTCCGATCTATGTTAATGCGTTGAATAGACTTTTAGATCGAAAACTCCCCGCTTTAGGCTGCGCATTCGCCTCCATAATATCTGAGATTATACATGAAAAGCAATTAGTTGTTTAATGTCAGTATTTAAATATGCTCATTGGCAATAATTTGTGAGATACATTTTTATATCGATAACAAGTGCCTTAGTAATAACGATAACAATAAATATTATTTACTTACGTAGTATTTATTTTCTTTCATCTTTCCTCTCCGCTTCATTGTTAATACTGTACATCATACAAATATTTTGTAAACATTTGTCTAATAACTAGTGTTTAGTATTACTATATTCTTATTAGTTATAACAATCCTTCTTTTCCTCAATCCTATTGCTCATGGTCGAGCGTGATGACTTTTCTCATATGCCTGTGATGCGCACGATGATTGTACAGTCATATGGGGGACCTACCTAGTTTAAAATTGATTCTGAATATCAAAATTTTTTTGTTAGAGAAATGTTCTTAGCAAAGCGTATAAAAAGAAGATCATAAGAAACCACCGCACAAGTTATAGTTTGTGATATTTAATTATTATTACATTAATTAAAACATTACATTATGTTCTTAGCAAAGATACTCTTGGTGGTTTGTCATTGCCTGCCAAGAGCACTTATGAGAGTGTAAATTTTTCAAACTCAAGAGGAATTTAACGAGTGTTTTATTCAATATAATAGCTGAAGCAGTTTTCCTAGTATAAATATAGATTATTGTCTAGTAAATATTAATAGATTATTATTAGTTAAAGTATTGCATAGTCCATTTAATATACTGGTTTTTTTTTCAGTAAATATATTCAGATTTTGCGCATGTTTATGCGTAGTAACTGCAGATAAGCGTTACATCTCAGCTAAACATTTATGAAATATTTATAAAATGATTCTAAAAATTCAAAATAACGTTCCAAGAGTATTTTGAAATATCTCCGAAATATTTAATGTAAGATCATTAAATAATTATTAAACATTTTATTGTTATATAATATACATTGGAGAGCACGAACATAGTAAGTAGCGCACGAGACTTGCTATGTCAGAGATCCCGGGTTCGATCCCAGGCAGATTCAAGAATCTTTTCATGCGCTTCTAGCTTCTCTTCGGTGGTCTGACAAACCACCGCAATTATGATTTTAATATTTAAAAGTATATGCAGCTAAATATGACTGTAACGAGTTGCAGAATACAAGGGCTAATCTTATATACTTATACTCTCTGGGTCTTCTTATAAGTCTTATATATTATCTATTATTTATATAAAACAAAGAAAAAAGAAGGCTACGAGCCAAAAATTATTATGTAAAATAAACATGATAACAAAGAATGTAAAAAAAAAATAAAAGAAACAAATGTTTTAAGTTAAAAATTTAATATAAAAAGCTAGCAGACGTTTTGCGATCGGATTATTTTCAATGTTAAAAACATACACAACAGTCGGGAAAAAAAAACAAAAACATAATAAATTATCTTTCGCTCTGACGCTGGTAACAAGAAAACGAATGTCATAATGTACATATTTATAATATATAACGGAAAAAGAAGTACGCATAATAAAAGCTACTTGTAGTCAATTATTAAAATGCTTATAATATCAATTTTAGTAAACCGAATGAAAGTTTTTTGATTAAAAGTGAACGCAAATATGAGTCTGTAGAAAAATATAATATAAGTGAAACTATAGTGTAAGATTGAAATAATATGACATGAATGTAAATTATAATATAATGGACTTTTATAACGCTAGATAACAATAGTAAAAAAAGAAGAAAGAAGAAAAAGAAACAGATCAACCATTAAAGATTAGTATACAAAACAATGTAATATATAAGATGATACATAGCAAAATTAATTAAATATTAGGTGTTGGAATTAATTCGTAGCGTTTTTCAATAAATATTTATTCAAATTTCGTAAATTTTTTTTCAGCGTAATAGTATTATTGGCGTCGTCGGTCAACATAGGCGTCGACGTTGGCGTCGTCGTTGGCCTGGATAATTTATCGAGATCAAAGCTATTGGAGCCATTGGATTATATCTCTTATTTTCATTTTTATAAAGTCTAAAATTATGACATAAGACATCTTTAAGTCGTCTTTTAGACGCAAAAAACGTCTTATGACCTGATTTTAGATACTTTTTGTTATCTGAGATATAAATTCACACATAATCATACAAACATTTAACATCCAGTTAGACTGTTTAAGGCATTGATTTCTATAGTTATCACATATACAGTCCCATAAGATATTA